ACCAAAAAAAAAAAAAAAAAAAGTAATTTAGGGGACCAGCAGTTAGAGTAATGGCTATGTCGCTGGACTCCCACGTAGTTGACCGTGGTTTGAATCCCAGACCTGGTGGCTTAAACTCATGCCAGGCGCATGTGCGTGCGTGCCCAAGATCCTGAGAGGATAATGGAGGAGAAAGGATTGTGGCATGGCCACCCCCGCTGGAGGGTGATTTCTCGCCTTCTGTCTCTCTGTCTCTCTGTCTGTCTGGCGAGCGCACACGCCCTATAGCAAAAACCTCTCCCCCAAAAAAATAATAATAATAATAATTTGGGAGGCAGATCATTACTCATTCTACAGATGAGTAAAGAGGTTTATAAAGGTTAAGTGGCTTTTCTAAGTTCCTAAATGATAGCACTAGGATTTTGATCTCTAGTAGATATACTAATTCTTCCCTCCTAACCCTTTGCTTCTTCCTTAAAAGAGAAAAATTAAAACCTCATTTTTAAAAATCATCTCGAGTAAACTGGGTTGGTAAGATCAAGTGACCAACTGTATAGTATTAGCATTTTACTCCTGTATCTATTTGTGCCTATTTTCTAAAAATGGACAAATTTATATATACAATCTTTGCTACTACATCATCTACTAAGATGAACCTGAGGATATAGAAGATAAATATTTAACATTTCTAGTAAATAGTTCATAACTTATTACATGATTTACCAAAACTTTTTAGGAAGAAAATTATAATTTCTAGCAAAACGAACTCAAAATTTTTAAAAAATGTTTAAATTTAAATTACAAACAAGGACATGTAATTCATATTTTAAGCCATTTAATATTCTCAACCTAAGTTTCTCCTCCAGGATTCAGTGTCAAACAATTATGATGAAACTGGTATAACGTGAAACATAAATTTGAACATCTGTTGAAGCTGAGGATAATTACTTTGTTAATGATACTCATCAGCAGATCACCTCTCATTCAAGTAACATAAATAACTAAAGAAAAGATATAATACATAAAATAGGTGTTCACAACCTCTCTAAGACAATTAACTCATTTCAGCTACTTCTACGGTTCAATAGAAAACACTTACCCAAAGATTGTTCTCATAATAGAAAGCATCTAAAAGCTTGACTATATTTGGGTGATCACAAGATGCTAATATGTCAATCTCAACCATATAATCTTCAAGTTCTTCTTCAGATTTGGTGTCAATCACTTTTGCAGCAGCTAAAACACTGGTCTCTTTATTCTGCGCCTAAAAATGAAAGAATCACACTTAACTGCTTATTTTTTCATTTTTAACAGACTTTTTATTTTTCTAAAGCCATTTTAGGTTCACAGCAAAACTAAGCAGACAGTAAAGATCTCCCTTATACTTCTTCCCCCACATATGCACGAACTCCCCCACTATCAGCATTCCTCACAATTGTGACACATCTGTTACAACCGATGAACTCACATTAATAGATCACTACACCTCAAGTCCATGTTCACTCTTGGCTCTGTTGAACATTCTATAGGTTTCAACAAACATAACCTGACATATATCCACCATCACCTCCTCCCTTTCCTCTAATTCCTGAAAACCAATGATCATTTTACTGCCTTCAGAATTTTGCCTTTCAGAATTTCCTATAGTGGGACCAGCAGTTAGCGTAATGGCTATGTCGCTCGACTCCCATGTAGTCAACTGCGGTTCGAGTCCCAGACCTGGTGACTTAAACTCACAGCAGGCATGTGTACGTGCATGCCCAAGATCCTGAGAGGAGGGACTGCGGCGGCGTGGCCATCCCCCCTAGAGGGTGATTTCTCTCTTTCTGTCTCTCTGTCTCTCTCTGTCTTTCTGGCAAATGCACGAGCCCTAAGGCAAAAACCCCGCCCCCCCAAAAAAAACAAAAAATTTCCTATAGTTAGAATTATCTGGTAAGTAGACCTTTCAGATTGGTTACTTTGACTCATTAATATGCATTTAAGTTCCCTCCATGTATTTTCATGGCTTGATAGCCATTTCTTTTTGGCACTGACTAATACTACATAGTCTAGATGTACCAAAATTTATGTATTTATTCACCTACTAAAGGATACATTGGTTGTTTCCAAGTTTTGGAAATTATGCACAAAACTGCAATAATCACATATGCATGTGCAGGTTTCTATGTAGACTTAAGTTTTTGACTTATCTGGGCAAATACCGAAGAGCACAACTGCTGGAACACATGGTAGAAGAATGTTTAGATTTGTTGAGAAATGCTAAAATGTAGACTTAAGTTTTTGACTTATCTGGGCAAATACCGAAGAGCACAACTGCTGGAACACATGGTAGAAGAATGTTTTGTTGAGATTTGTTGAGCAATGCTAAATGTCTCCCAAGATGGTTGCACCATTCTACATACTCTACCAGCAGTGAGTAACTGTTTCTACTCCTCCATATTCTCACCAGCATTTGGTACTGTAAGTTCTTAAATTTTTATCAATCCAATAGGTGTATAATGTTATCTTGCTATCTCAATTTGCAATGACAGATGATGTTGAACATCATCATTTTTTTTAAATGTATTTATTTTAACATCTATTTATTTATCTATTTATTTGTTGTGATTTTGGGGGACTGTCAGGTCCAGGACTTGAACCATGGTCAGCCATGTGGAAGTCTAGTGCCTCAACCACCATGCTAAGCCACCTGCTGGCACCAAGCATCTTTTCATATGCTTCTTTGCTATCTGAAAATTTTCTTTGGTGAAATGTCTGCCCAAATATTTTGCCCATTTTTAATTGGACTGTTCATTTTTGTTTGTTTTGAGAGATTTTTGCTATAGGGAATGTGCACTCACCAGAGAGAGAGAGAGAAACAGAGAGACAGAAAGAGAGAAATCATTCCCCAGGGAAGATGGCCATGCCGCAGTCCCCTTTCCTCCATTCTCCTCTCAGGATTTTGACCACTACGTCCAGAAATCGAACCATGGTCAACCACATGGGAGTCCAGCGCTTTAACTACCATGCCACTGCTGGCCCTGGATTGTTCATGTTCTAATCCTTCAGATTTAAGAGTACTTTGTATGTTTTAAATAACATTCCTTTATTAGATACATGTTTTGCCAGTATTTTCTCCCAGTCTGTGGATCGTCTTCTCATTCTCTTGATGTACTATTTTTAAAAGATAGCTTAAAGTTGGGACCAGCAGTTGGCGTAGTGACTATGTCGCTGGACTCTCAGGTAGTCAACTGCAGTTCAAGTCCTGGACCCAGTGGCTTAAACTCATGCTGGGCGTGTGTGCATGTGTGCCCAAGATTCCGAGAGGAGAATAGAGGAGAAGCAATTGAGGTGTGGCCATCCCCTGTGGTGATTTCTCACTTTCTGTCTCTCTGTCTTTCTGGCAAGCGCATGCACCAGCAAAAACCTCTCCCCCAAAAAAAGAAAAAAGAAAAAAGAAAAGAAAACGTAACTTAAATAGCTAATTAACTGCTATGCACTATGTTAAGTACTTTATATATACAGTGGTTCGTATTATAAACCACAGATTCTAATGGGGACAGACTGCTAGGGTTTAAATTCTGGTTTTGCCACCTATTAGCTGTGTTGTGTGGGACAACTTAAAAAATGTCTTTCTGTTTTAGTTTGTTCATCAGTGAAACTTACCTGCACCTGTTAAGTTTGTGAGACTTAAGATAATATTTATTTGCCAAGTAAGAAAAAATGCAAATATTTAATAAGATGAAGAATATAGGGGCCAGCAGTTAGCATAATGGCTATGTCGCTGGACTCCCACGTAAGCGACCGCGGTTCGAGTCCCGGACCCGGTGGCTTAAACTCACGCCGGGCGCATGTGCGTGCGTGCCCAAGATCCCGAGAGGAAAATGGAGGAGAAGGAATTGTGGCGTGGCCATCCCCCCGGGGGGTGATTTCCTGCTTTCTGTCTCTCTGTCTCTCTCTGTCTTGTCTGGCGAGCGCATGCGCCCTATAGCAAAAAAAAAAAAAAAAGAATATATATGATAGTAACAATAGCAAACATTAGTTATTGATTATTATTATTATTATTTAATCCTCACAACAATCTCATGATATATTATTATCCCTATTTTAAAGGAGGATATTAATAAACCCAGGGAGGTTAAAAGGCTTTCACCCAGGTCATGTGGCTAAGAAGAGGCAGAATCAGGATTTAAATCCAGATCTGTTTCCAATGACCTTTCATTACCTCAGTTATTACCCTTGAAGAGTGCCTTAAATGTCCCACTTTTTTTTAAGAGAGATTTTTGCTATAGGGCATATGTACTCACCAGAGATAGAAAGAGAGACGGAAAGCAAGAAATCAGCCCCCAAGGGGGATAGCAACCCTGAAATCCTTGTTCCTCCATTTTCCTCTTGGGATTTTGGGCATGCATGCACACATGTCCAGTATGAGTTTCAAGTTGCGAGGTCCAGGACTCAAACCACAGTAGAATACATGGGAGTCCAGTGATATAACCATTATGCCATCTAAAATTTCCCCCTTTTCTTCTTGAAAACAAGAAATTTAAAAATCCCAAGTGAAACATGCCCTTTCTTTATCAGGAGAAAATAAACATTCTTCAATGTAGTGTCATAGCCAAGAGAATTTTGTACAAAGGTCTTTGGTGAAATAATTCCTATCTTCTTTTAGCCTCCCCACATAATTTACCTGCTTTTCCACAATTATCTCTCTGCTCAACCTAACACAAAAGGACAAAGGTTTTTTTATATTTCTTTGTTTCTTATTAAAAAAAAAAAATAAGACTAAAATAAAAGGCCACTTACGGGGCGAGTGAGAGCAAAAAAGACAGAAAGAAAGCACCCCCTCCTGCCGAACGGTCCTACCTCAATTCCTTCTCTTCCATCTCTCCCTTCTTTAAAAATCTTAGGTACTCAAACAAATGCTCCCAGCACATTATTCAAGCCACCAGGATGAGGACATGAATTGTACAGTCAGTCATGTAGGACCCAGCCACCTTAACCAACATGCTACAAGCTGGTACAAGCTGGTCCTGGTTCTTCATGGGGGCTCACATGTCAGTAGAACTAACATGAAACGTCTAGCCGTTTCTCCTATTAATGTATCTTCTGTCAATTTAATTCTCCAACCTGGCTGAGTCCCCAAAGGGTAGGTGTAAAGTTCCGACTCCTCTACAATCTATCTAGCCTCTCTGTATTTCCATCAGTTTATTAAATTTTCTTTGCTCGTAATACATTAACTTTTCCATTTTCTTTCTTTTGTTGAATAACTTCTCACCTCCATTTATTAAATGAAAAGTTTTTCAAATATGTAGTTAAAAGTCAAAGTTTTTTTGCAAGTAAAGAATTAGGTTTTTTTTTTTTTTCTTAGCTTGATATAAAGAGCATGTGCTTGATGGAGAGAGAAAGAAAAAGAGAAAGAGAAAGTGAAAAAACAGTCCCTGTCGGGATGGCCATGCTACAATCCTTCCCTCCACTTTCTTCTCAGGATTTTTAGCACACATGCACATGTATCCAGCATGATTTTCAGCTGCTAGGTGCAGAACTCGAATCACAAAGTTGGCCATGTGGGACTCAGCGCCCTAACGTCCACACCACCTGCTGTCCTGTAACAAATTATATCTTAAAATACTAATTGGGTTATTTTCGTAAGGCATTTTAATAGTAAGTGTTATCACCACCTCAAGAAAACCACAGCTATTACTTTAAAACAAAACAAGGGGTCAGCAGGCGAGGCAGTAGTTAAGGTGCTGGACTCTCACATGTCCAATAACAGTTCAAGTCCTGAACCCTGAGGTTTGCTTCCTTTCTCTCTCTCTCTTTGGTAAGTGCACGTGTCCTTTAGCAAACTTAAAACAATAATAAATAAATAAATAAATAAATAAATACAAACAAACAGCCAAAATGGGGCTAAACAGTGGTTTAACCAATGACACTCCTGGATCCATGTGGGAAGGTGCTGGGTTTGCAAAGGTGCTGGGTGGCTCTGGCACCCACCCTGTACATACCAGGCACATTCACGTACATACATGCCTGTGATCCAGGCTGGTTAAGGTAGGGGATAGACTGCAGTATGAAGATCCTGTTAGGGATGCTATTTCTATCTTTCTCAGAGTAAATAAATAAATAAACTTTTTTAAAGTAGAATTTGGACACTACTTATTGAGATTTTTTTTTTTTAAGAGGTTTTTTTCTATAGGGTATGTGTACTCGCCAGAAAGACAGAGAGAAACAGAGACAGAAAGCATGAAATCACCCTCTGGTGTGGTGGCCATGCCGCAATCCCTT